AGGGAGTGCCTTGAAACAATTAGTCCTCTGTAACTGATTATTTAACAATATGTATTTCCCAAGAGCTGTTCATCCTAAAAAGGAAGCAGCCAAGACTGAGTAAGTACTGTATCTACGCAGACACCTGCACTGAGCCCCTCTGGGTGTTAACTGGAAATTCTCACAGACAAAAATTAAAGGAAAATTATTAATTTTCTTCTCTAACCCATTTGCAATGAACTTTCTATGTCTTCATGTGCTAGGGGACAAGGTCCATTTCTTATGTTACCTCAAGGACTACTTTCATTTGTAAAAATCTCTTTATAAATATAAGATGGCTTTAGTTTTAAAGCTGAAATTCAAAACAGAACAACAAGAGATACATAGAAAGCAAGGAAGAAAGAGAAAGAAGAGAGAGAGGACATAAAGGAAGGAGAGTGGGAAAGAAAGAAGAGGGAAAATAAGAACAAAACATTGTTTTTCTGTATAAGAAAAATGTTTTATATGTTCAAAGTACTCTAGTGGCCACCAAAGAACAACAACTAAAAAGCAGAAGAAAATGTTCTCATCTTTGGATCACTTATTTCCCAGTCATTTAAGACACAATGTTAGGAGTAAAAATGATTTTAGCCGATTGGTCTTAAATTCAAATATAGGCTACATATATTTTTAGCTACAGATTCCATGTTGTAACTCCATTCTCCAGAACAGTGAATGATTCAGAAACTGCCAGGACACATCTCGAGACCAGATGCTTGTAAAAATGAACATGTATAAGTCATTTACAGAGAGATAGTCAAGCAGGCCTCTGCAGAATGTGATCTCAAAACGCACATACTGAGAAGTGCCATATCCCGGTACCGGGTTAAGTTTGGGTCTCCTGCCAGCTTTTGCATTCCAAGAAGAATGCATTTCAGCTTTTGGAAAGGTTCTTCTGTGTGTATGAAGCTGTCTCCAAAAAGCCTATTTTCTATCATTTCCAAGAAGCTCATGCCTGAAACTGCTGGATACCCTCGTTACCTTACCTGGGGTTCCCTACGTGTAAGTCACCATTGCCAGTCAGTAAAATTTTGACAGAGGAAATGAGAGAGAGCTCTAGAAGAAAACCTGAAATAAATGTATATAAGTCTGCATCTGACTGGTTTGGTTTTAAAGTGGAAAAATATTACATAATTAAGCTAAGAGTGATATGCAAAAGGTTTAGTGAGTGTGGCACAGGCACTGACCAATCAGAATTGCTTCAGGAGGGTTCTGGAGCTTCCCTGACTTGCCCAGCATAAGGCTTTTAGCTGCTGGAGGTTTGGGGCTGCTTCTAGTTTAAGTGGCTAGAGGGCTGGGACACATGCAAGGTTTAAACAACAGCTTTTTCAATATTTTAACAACTGATAGGGTTGCCAGTGCCTACCAGCTGTGTGTCAGGCCTGGCAGTCGCTCCCAGTAACCGTTCCACAAATTTGGATATACCTGGAGCTAAACAGTTTTAAAAAGTTATGATTTATATGTATTCACATAAATCCACATAGAAATGAAAAACTCAACTGAATTTTTTTTAAAATAAAGGTTATTGGATTAATGGTTCAGGAAATGAAGAAAAATATTAAACATAGTGTAGTGCCTTACGAATTCTTGTGGACCGTATGGAGACACTGGGTTACACAATGGATCCCAAGGATATCCACAATCAACCAGTATCACACTGACGGTATTTCCTAGTGGTTCAACAAGAGCTGTCCTTGTCCAAACTTATATCAATGAATGAAAAAGAAAATGGAGAAAATATATATACTTTGGCCATCTATCTGTTCCTTTGGCCTGGCTAGCACTGTTGCCATTCTCTCCACCTTGGCCCCTTTATTGGTAAAAGAATCCTTTCCTCTGGTGTGAATCCCATTCCATGTGGGTTTTGGGGGATAAACTTAATTCCTTCTATCACTGGATTCTGTTCATGATCCAGGCTTGCCTAGAGTGCCTGTCAGCATGTGATTGATTTCTAGATCGTCTATGATCCAAAGGGAAGATAATTTAAGTCCTTCGCAGAATTTTCTATTGGGGAATAAGCTCTTTCCCTGATGGGGCAGGTGAGCTAGTAGAAGGTAAGTCTTACACTGTTGTTGGCCATTATGCTCAAGAAGATTATTAAGTAATAAAAATAACACTAGACATAGTTAGAATTAGTTTTTACTCTTACTTTTGCACTTGTATCCATCATGCTTTAAAAAAGTACTTCATACAATTTCTTAAATGGTCAGATGTATTAGAAGTTTGGTAGCTCAACCTTGAATCTTCAGAAAGTGATCAAGAAATTCCTGATAATATTTCAAGTAACCAAGATGCTCTTTTAAAAAATCCATCGAAGAATAACTACTAAAAGTCAGAATATTATAGAAATATACCTTTCATCCATCAGTCTCAGAGCACCTATGATATAATAACCTGGATAAAAAAATGAGGCAGTAATCTCCTCTGAGCAAAACATAGAATCTAAGCATATGTACATAACATACTTCTGTGGTTCCAGGTGTTGCCAAAGGCAGTAAGAGAGTACAAAGGCCAGTAAAACACACACACATGCGTGCACATGCACATTAAGTGTTCAAGGAACTTGAAGATCTTACTATTGGAGAGTCATATTCCATAGAAATGCCCAAGTTGAAGACAGTTTCTATATTAAGTGAACCCCACTAAACCCTGGAGAAATCACATTTCTAAGTGCTCAGGACTGACTGAGTGCTGGTACCAGGAACGAACCAGCGTGGCAGAGCTCAGGCAAGAGTGGCACAAACAGTCATCACTTCAGTAGGGCCACACAGTTGGAATTAAGCTCATTACACATGAGTTTGAAACAGCTTTAGTTTTTACTTAGCTTGTATTAATTTCCTAAAAGACAGAAACCAACATTTTCTTTTATATCTCCCTCCAAAATATAGTTTAATGCTTAGGAGTCCTCCTTTATTAATTAAGCTCCATAAGAGCCCAAAAGACTTTTTTCTATGTATATGGTTTGGTAGGTTATACTGGCTACTACTTTCATCATAAGGTTTACGTTTACTTAATTACTGCTGACTGGTTCAATTACAAACTTCAGGTTTCCAACCCCCACTGAATCCCATCACTGGCTCTCTCAGCAGTCCATTTCTTGACCATCTTTCAACCCACAATCATTTATATTTACTTTTTGCTTAGATTATCCTTCCAAAAAGTAGGTATGAGAATGTCATTCTCATTTAATAGTTTAAAAATTTAAAAACTAACAAAATTTTAAAAACAAATCTGAACAAAACAAACAAAACCCTCAACTTTGATGGCTTCCCATTGCTTAGAAGCTGAAGTTTAACATCCCATCCTGACCTGGTAATGTGGCGCTGAAGCCAGTCCACCTGTTTCCTCTCCTGCCACTGCTCTCTACCTGGAAAACCTTTCTTGCTCCCCTCAGCCCGTCCGCTTCATCTAGGTAAAATGTGTCACTTTCTCTTTTTATAGCCTAGGTTAACATTGCCTTCTCTGTCTGAAATACCCATCTATGACCAAACACTCATCACTTATCTAATAAACATTCAAAGTGTCACAAACCGATTGGCAGGCAAAATTAATGAATTGAGTCTATCAGATGGAATAAGGGCACATGCCCCACCTAAAAGGGGCATCGTGCACTCAGGACTAGAAAACTGCTACCAAGCAAGTATGGTGGCAGAAATTCAGGGTTTCTCAATATTAATAGTTTGCGGCAAATATTTACAAAACCTAAAAACTGGTCTGTGTACCACTGTGTGTCTAACAAATAAAATATATCTTAAGGTTGTTAGTGTGGACCTTCATGTTAGTCACACTAGGCCTTAGGGCTTCACAGGTTACTGGGACAGGGCTGCTGGCTTGAGTGGCTCACCTTTGGGTATCAGCTCAAATGCTAGTACAGACAGGAGTAAACACGCCCTTCACTCAGCTCTCAGAACACTCTGTTTACATGGCACCTGCCATAGTTTATGCTCGTCGCTAAGTGTTTATGCCTTTGAACCACCAGATCCTAGAGGAGCTGGGCTGTCACCCTCATCCTGTGTTGGCACCACTAGCTCACTGTGCCAACAGCAGAGGCTTAATTATGGCTGTATCTACAGAGAGGTGTCGGCGTGTCAACTTGATTCCAAACTTTAAAGTTATTTTGTACTTTTTCCCTTCCTAAATCAATATTATGCTTTGATTAGGCACCCTGCTATAAAATATGCTGTCACTAAAGAATTTATCTCTTTTGCAAGCCTAAATATGCTTTGAGTCACATTTTAGTTGTACTACATAATCCTAATGTGTTTTTCTACACCTGTTTCTTGTAAGATGGTGGTCAAAATAAGAACAGTTTAGAGATTATCTCTGGTAAATTCAAGAGATTATTTTAGTCAAGAACAGAAGTTTTCATTTGGGAAAATGTATTCATTTGTAAATTTCAGGGTGTAACTTTCTCCCATTTAACAAAAGCACTAAAAAAGCCAGCTTTAATTTTTGCTACAGTTCTTTAATTTCTAGTTATGCTACCTAAGTGTGTTCACAAAACTAATTTAAGCTCAGCATTTCCAGACTTAGAGGATGTCAATTATTTTTAGTGAACCAAAACTCTCATTTCACTAAGCATTTCCTGAACATTGCTACCTATTTCACTCCTCAATTGATCTAATTTCTAGACACAGCCATTGTCCAATTATGAGCACAGGTCCTCCATGCCTGCCACCTGCAAAGTTCATAAACATCAATTCTGTTGAACAAAAATATGTTTTAATAGTTACTTAGATGTTCTCAAAATCAAGGAGGGTAAATATGTCTTCCTTATCTCTATAACCAGAAAGTTAGAAGCCCAGCCCTATTTCAGGTGTTCAAGATTTAAACCCCATCATTTCATTCTACAACTCTGCATGATGCTATTATGCACACTAATTCACCTATGTGTGGATACTTGATTCCCTTACATTGAAACTCTGTGTCATGTGTTCACTAGCATACATGTGTACCATCAGTACTCAAACCAAAAAGCTTACCTGCAGACTGTTGAAAATGACAAAGAGGACCAACATCCAGAAGTGTCTGTAAGCCATGTGCAGGCCTCCCCAAAGCCATGTCACAGAAATCAGGGCAAAGAGATATAAAACCAGTGGAATTTCTAGAAATCATGAAAAAAGAAAGACATTTTCAGCTTCAGAATATGGCACAGTCACACATCTACAGAAAATTATTTTTTGGCTCCTTTCTTGTGATACTCTCTTTGCCTGAATACCCATTTTGAAAGAACAAGCTTGGAAATCCCATTCTAATGCCAGAGAAGAGAAGGCACATTGCTGAGTCCACATTCTTCCTGTTTTGCTGGTAGGTCCGGAGGGGGATGGGGAAGAGGGAGAACTGTTCCTCTCCTAGACTACCACCTGCTGGACTCTTCTGGAAGTTACATGAACAACTGCGGAAATAAAATCACTTTTCAAGCCCAGGTAAATTTTAGAAGATCGCTCCAACAGAAAATGACAGGCAGTTATCAGTGTGCTCTCAAAGTTCACCTAGTCCAACTCGACATTTTAAAACTGAAATGACATAAAAACGTGTGTGTGTGTGATGGAAGAGTATATGCTTATCTCTTTTATTATGTGATGATCCTAAACGTTATAGCTGGTTAAGTTAAGAGCTAAGATAAAGTGACAGGATTCACTATTGTCAACACTAAGCTCATTCTATGCAACATTTTCCCAGGCAATTTGTTTCAATACTTTTCAGAACAGATTTCTTCAAGGCCAATGGATTTCATCACCCCTCTTACTCATGTTTGGTATTTGGGTTTTAGAATAATAACCTTAAAGAAAGGATTTTAATATTTAAATGACAAGCTATATAAGATTTGGAGAGCGAATGAGATCTTAGCAGCTGCAAATAAATACATTTTCAAGTTGTTAAAAGACCTCAGTCTGGACCACATCACTGACAACTCTCGTGACATACCTGAAATTCCGAATGTGTATATATCCACAATCACCAGTTAACAATTAAAATCCACATGTACTGGAGAAGTTAGAACAACTAAATACAACTGTAGCACTTTCTAGATTTTCTTTTATTTTGAAACAATTCCAAACTTACAGAAAAGTTGCAAGTACAGCATGACAACAAAGTTTTTTGTTTCTGAACCACCTGAAAATTGCCAACCTGATCCCCCATCATCATTGCCTGCAATACTTAAAGGTGTATTTTCTACAAAGACATTCTCCTACAGAAACACACTACAACCATCAAATCAGGAAATGAACACTGATCCGTTACTACCATCCTCAGCTCCCATTCAATATGTCAACTATTCCAGAAGTTTCTTTTGTAGCAGAAGGTCCTGACTGTCCTGTTTCTGCAGTCTCCTTTAATCCCAGTAAATTCCCCTGTGCGTCGTTGGCTTTCGTGACTCTGACAGTTTTGGAGATTACCAGCCAGTGGTACAAAAGGACAAATGTTGAACGATTGTACTTATGTGAAGTGCCTAGAGTAGGCAAATTCAGAGACATAAAGTACAACAGAGGTCAGCAGGGGCTGTGGTTGGGATGGGGAGTTATTATTTAATGGAGAGAGAGTTTATGTTTGGAAGGATGAAAAAGTTCTGAAAAGTTCAGAAAGTATGGTTGTACAACATTGTGGAAGTACTTAATATCATTGGATTGTGCACTTAAAATGGTTAAAATGGTAAATTTTATGTTATGTGAATTTTACTACAATTAAGAAACAAAAGACTATGCCAAAATAGGCAGACTTGTGTCAAGATTAAGTTCTACAGAGGAAAAAAAAATCAAATCCTCAAAGTACCTAATTTAGCAGGAAGACACTAATGCGAAATTACTTACATTAGCAAGGAGTCACTAATGTGAAAAACAAACTAGTTTGAAAAGGTTTTAGTGAAAGAAATTACTTGTGGAAAAAAAAGCAGCAAGTGGATGTCATTTAGTAATACTATCATGAAGACAGCCTACTTAGGGGAGTGTGTAAATGCCGCTGAGAATACATAAAATCTCTTTATTTTTCAGTAGAAAATATGATTTCAATGAATTTAATTGCCATTTTTAAAGAAAGTATGGTGCTGTATTATTTTTTTCCTTTGTAATTGCAGCCTTGGCGGGTATTGCTCTGCACCAGTGACAACAATAAAGGCTTTATTATGGAAATCACGCCTCATTTACATGAGGCTGAAATTTAGTCTGTGTTTACAATCTTTTAAGTACTTGTTTTCATTTTACCTCACTGACCTTCTGATTCGAACAATTTGGATGTGCTACTGAAACAAATTTATCAACAGAAAACAAGGAACACATCTATGAAATACTGTGGATTTAAGATCTTTATGGGTCTATTTATAACAACAGGCATGCATTATTTTAAATTAAAAGACAAAGTAATTGAAAAAAAGGTACCAAATATCTTACTTTTAAAATATGGCTCTAAATTAAGATACTTAATTGATCTGACCCTTTCTTTGGAGAGAAAATACTGTGCTTTGAGCTTTCTTAACACAAATTCCACAATGTGCAGTTACCCACCAGTAAATACACCTAAATTCATAGAAAAGACAACAGGGCACATTCTTCACAGAACTGCCAAATCAGCATACGCTGCTGTGGATGGAACAAATAGCAAATCTAAAGATTAGATCGGCAAACTGTTTAAAGAAACACTCCATACATACCTCATTTACCCTTTTACCTCATTCCTAAATTTTGACCGCTAGTCTTAAATTTGGTTCCCATTTTAGAATTTTCTTTTTGCTTCATTACTTCAAACACATTCCCAATAGAGCTCTTAAAAATTTATTTGGGCCCTGGCTGGTGTGACTCAGTTGGTTGGAACATCTTCTCACAAACTGAGGAGTCACGGGTTTGATTCCTAGTCTGGGCACGTGCTGGGATGCAGGTTTGGTCCCTATTCAGGGAGTGCAAGAGGCAACTGATTGATGTTTCTTTCTCATATCAATGCTTCTCTCCCCACCTCTCTCCCTCCCTTCCCCCTCTCTCTGAAATCAATAAGCATGTTCTCAGGTGAGGATAATTTTTTTTTTTTTAAGAACATTTGGATAACAGAATCCACTCCTGGGACATTCTGGGGCTCCTGTCTGGAGATACAGTTACAAATGTCTGTTGCAGCAGGCTAGACTTTGTATACCTCAAATCTCCATTGTGTGCCAGGTTCTTCTTTAATTTAGCCATCTTGACTAAATTCATAATCTCTAGAGTCATCTTCTTCTTTCAAAATAATTTAAAAATTATTTTATTTTATTGTTTTTTATTATTTCAGTTATAGTTGACATTCAATATTATATTAGTTTCAGGTGTAGGCATAGAAGAGTTACCTTCTTTCAATGAGTACTTTAGGGCCAACGATTTCCAAATATTCATCTCCATCTTTCCTGAGCCCCCACACTCTGGGCCTGGTGCTCTCCAAAGCATCTCCAACTGAGTTAATCCAAAGCTGACTTTACTATCCTTCCTCGCAAGCTTTCTCTTCCTTCTGAGTCCCAGTGCCACCATCCACATAGATTTATCCCATGGCTGACTGTTCATCATACACTGCACCAAATGAGGTGGGAGTGGGGGAGGACCATGCACATAAAGCAGTCAGAACAGAGCCTAGAATAAAGTTCATGCTTGCTATGCCTTCCTCTCATCCTCATCCTTATCCTTATCACCATCATGACTTTAGTCACGTTAGGGAAATAGTTGGCATGGCTACGTATAGCCCCCCTCCTGCCTATCTGCGTACCAAAATATCATGCAATGAAGAAACATGTTAAACTTTTTTTTGTACCCGATTCTCCCAAACTTATTTGGTTATAGAACCCTTTTGCTTATCTGATGTAATCTGAAGATCACACTTGGAGGAGGGTTGCTTTCAGTGGACAGACTCTAAATTCTATCACATCCATATCATCACTGAAAACTTCCTGACAAACCTATTTTAGGTTGGCCGTTCAGTGTTTTCTATTCTCTTCCCTCTCCCTTTGATATTTTCTTTTCTTTCCTATCCTATCCTATCCTATCCTATCCTATCCTATCCTATCCTATCCTACACCATCCCATCCCACTTAAAAAAGCTTGGCAAGGAGACTCACCATTATGTTGTGACCTACAATTTGTAAACCTCTGCTCTAGAAGGATGTTTAAATAGGATATGGTAGGCTATCTTAGACATTATGTAGGTACAGTAAGCATAACTATAATGGGGGCCTACACCAACCATCTTCTTACCTGGATTTACCCTGACCCTCACTGGTATATGAAGGAGATAAGCCTACTTTTGAAGGCTCTGTAGAGGTGAGATATTGGATCCAGGGGCACAAAGGAAAGTCAATACTTGTATAGAGTATATTTTCCAGGGGAAAAGAAAAAGAATGTGAGCAAATTCTCAGAGGAGTCTCAAAGTCTGCTGAGAACCTAAATAGCAGTACTTTGTCAACGCCTGACTTAGGGCTCTCCTGAATGCTAAAGGACAGTCCAGTGTCAGGCCTACTTTGAGTGTGATTTATTGGGATTGAAAAAAAAATGGTACAAGCCTAGAATTATGGTCTTGCCTTGCAAAAGCTATATATAATTTTCAATTTGTAGGCTATAATTTTGATTCTAAGGAGAATAATCAAGTTAGATGAGACATACCCACATGGACCTTGCATGAACTGTTATTAGAATAATTCCATTTGAATCATGCACTTCAAAGTTGCCAGATGCTATCCTACTGGGGGTGGGGTGTGTGTTGGGGGGTCAAATAGGTCTGTGATGTTTAAGTAAAAGATTAAATGGTCTGTTTTCTTTTTGTGAGGAAAAATGTCTTGGAACTATGAGAAAGAAAATTATCACTTGGGTTCACAACCAACATAGTGATTTTCTACACATTTCATAAATGTTTCATAAAATGACATTATAACAAAAGTTTTTAGAAGATCAGTTATAAAACAAACAGGAAGTCAGACAACTAACAATGGAAGACTGGTTAACCTAGTTTTCTAATTACATTACCAGTTAGTTACTGAGCCGTAAAAGAGTTCAAAACACTCATCCCCAGGCATGCACCTAACAGCAGCTTCCAAGATATTTAGCTTTTTTATAATACAAGGAAAACATACAATGCATCTTTCAATCTGCCTATATCTAT